CAAGGAATGGTGACCCCCTCAAAAAAACCAGCATGAGTTCTGCTGTGGAAGAGGGAAAATGCAAAAACACCCCCTCTGCTGTGAGTGGAATCAGCCGCTGGGATCCAGTCTTATGTTCTGTTGCTGATCCTTTCAGATTTTAACAGAAGGGTTGCCGATCTCCATCCAGGGAGCCAAGATGTGGCTGACTCCATCTGGAAAACAGCCTAACCTCTGAGCCAAGCAATGAAGCAGAATATCTGAGATCTAGTGTAAGCTAACTTGTTGTATCTTTTGCCATTGTCTGCCTTTCAATACCTTGAAGATTCCTTCTAACAAACCAGTGCTTCTCTATAGAAAAGACCAAGAGTCCAGTAGCACCTTGAAGACGAACAAAATCTGAAGAGAGCAGATATCTGAAGAAGTGAGCGGTGACTCAGGAAAGCTCCTCCCCTGCCACCAATTTTGTTAGTGTTTACGGTGCTACAGGACTCTTGCTCTTTTCTTCTGCTACAAACAGACTAAACACGGCAAACCATCTTGATCCACTTCTTATATTTTCAGCATAATACTCTTCTATTGGGATCCTTCGTGCTCCGCTATCTACCTTCTCACTTTGGTCACATCATTCTGTTTGCTCCCCAGGTAATATTGGGGCTCCTTTTCCTCCTTCCAGGAGCAGGCCTCCCCCTCCACAACACAGGTGCTGAGTGCCGGAACACCAGATCACCGTCGCTGGACTCAACTGCATCATTCCACCATCCCCCAAGTAGGCTGTGCTCATGTCACCAGTGTTATTAATTTTAGCAAACAATGAATCTTTTAGTTGGAGTAGATTTTCTGGGCTGCACGGCCGTGGTCTTGGCATTGTAGGACCTGACGTTTCGCCAGCAGCTGTGACTTGCATGCTCAGAGGTATAACACAGAACGATGGAGTACTTTCTGTGTCAAGGTGAGAAGAAAAATGGTAGGCAGGTAATGGTAGGCATGAACTACTAATGGCCGTGAAAGCCTTCGACAACATAGTGAATCTTTGCATGATGGAGTGAGCGCCTGCCTCTGGCCCCAGCTCCTGCCAGCCTAGCAGTTCAAAAGCAAGAAATTGCAAGTAGATAAAATAGGTACCAGGTTTAGTCATGCCGGCCACATGACCATGGAAATTTCTTCGGACAGCGCTGGCTCTTTGGCTTGGAAACGGAGAAGAGTACTGGCGCCCTCAAGTCAGATTCAACTGACTTTCGAGCAAGGGAAACCTTTACCTTTACGTTAAGGTTAGTGGCGAGAGAAATAAAGCACTGGAAAATCCCCCCCCCCAATCTCTGCTCTCAACATTCTTGAAAGGTGTAATCCAAATCCTTGCTGAAGTCCTTGACTTCCATGAACGTAGCAGGGTGTGACTCTGCTCAGCCAAGCTCTAATTCTTCCAGCTCCGGGGCTGGCTCCCGTTTGAAGGAGGCAGAGGAGAGCGGAAAGAGATCCTGCCCAGTGCCTCCAGGAGATTCACGATCGAGGCCCGAACTGAGACTCCAGCAGAATTACCACTCCAGAATTCAAAGTGTGGACAATAAGATGGGACCACAAGGCATATGGCAAAGCAGAGGTCACCCAGCATCACGTCTGGAACCGATCATCCAGGCAGACTCAGAAGCACCAGAAGATGCTGCCCCCAATCATCATCTTTGCAAGTTGGCACAGAAAGATACCATGGTCTATGCCACGGAAACAATGGAGACACTCTCCACCATGGCCCCCTAGAAATTTCATTGTGGCTCCTAGTATTGGTGTAGCGTGGTATAATGATTAAGAGTGGTGGACTCTAATCTGGAGAACCAGGTTTGATTCCCCACTCCTCCACGTGAAGCCAGCTGGGTGACCTTGGGCCAGTCACGGTTCTCTCAGGACTCTCACAGCCCCACCTACCTCACAAGGCGCCTGTTGTGGGGAGAGGAAGGGAAGGCGATTGTAAGTCGCTCTGAGACTCCTTAAGGTAGAGATAAAGGTAAAGGTAAAGGTTCCCTTGCTTGAAAGCCAGTCGAGTCCGACTCTAGGGTTGCGGTGCTCATCTCCGTTTCAAAGCCGAAGAGCCAGCGCTGTCCGAAGACGTTTCCGTGGTCATGTGGCCGGCATGACTAAACACCAAGGTGCACGGAACGCTGTTACCTTCCCACCGAAGTGGTACCTATTTATCTATTGCAATTTCTTGCTTTCAAACTGCTAGGTTGGCAGGAGCTGGAACTAGAGATGGGAGCTCACTCCGTCTCGAACTGCTGAACTACCGACCTTCCACAGCCTGCAGTTCAGCGTCTTAACCACCTGAGCCACCGCAGCTCCTTAAGGTAGAGATAAGCAGGGCATAAAAACCAACTCTTCTTCTTATCAGTCATTTATTGCAAGTGATATCCCAGCAGATTCCATTTATATACAACGATGCTTTTGCTATAGCTTTAGAGAAAACCAGGAATTGGGAAGAGTTTAGGATTAGGTTTTTGGTAGCAAGATGTAAAAAGTAGGGTCATGAAAATCAAAAAACCTGAAAGTGGAAAAATTAGTCTGGCTCCTAAAGCCGAAGAAACTTTGTCAAGCACTGCTGTCCACCACAACCCCTTCACCAGAGATAGTATTCCCTCACGGCCACTGAAGCTTTTGCCGTTCCAAAAACTGAAAAGTGGATTGAGAAGGAACCCACACTCAGGTTTCTGACCTAGAGGTCAGCACCAGTTATCTATGTAAAGGTAAAGGTAAAAGTTCCCTTGCTCGAAAGCCAGTCGAATCTGACTCTAGGGCTGCGGTGCTCATCTCCGTTTCAAAGCCGAAGAACCAGCGCTGACCGAAGACGTTTCCGTGGTCATGTGGCCGGCATGACTAAACACCAAGGTGCACGGAACGCTGTTACCTTCCCACCGAAGTGGTACCTATTTATCTATTGCAATTTCTTGCTTTCAAACTGCTAGGTTGGCAGGAGCTGGAACTAGAGATGGGAGCTCACGCCATCATGCGACACCCGGGTCTTGAACTGCTGAACTGCTGAACTACTGACCTTCCACAGCCTGCAGTTCAGCGTCTTAACCACTTGAGCCACCGCAGCACCCAGTTACTAGGGGTTTTTCCCTCCTATAAATGGGTGATTTCTGCTGCTTCCTCTAAACAATTCAAAAGCATACCTTTGATATATCCTCCATAACCAAAACAGTTATTATCTGACACATAACCAATCCAGGGCCAACCATATACCAGCAAAGTCCTGAGATTTCTGTACTTATCAATACATTACACATTTTTTGCAAGAAGGGTTTCACCCCAGAGGGCATGCTATTTATTCTTCACAGCAATCCTGTAAGGTATACCAGGCTCAGAAAGTGACTGGCCAAGTGTGGATTTGAACCCAGATCCACCTAGCTGTAGCCCAGCACTCTGGCTCTTGAACACACAGGGATCCGATGTGGCAGAAAGTGGAAGAAAGAGCATTTCTTTCTACAGTTTTACAGATAATTTAAAAAAAAACACATAACACTTGCAATGGACTACCATTTTCAACATTTCCTTATCTCTGGTCCATTAAAAAAAAATCCACAGAACAGAGTATTTTTCTTCTCCCTCCTGATGCTGTCTGGGAAAATCAAGGGGGATTTTTGCTTCAGAACATTCATCCCCCAACTCCCAGGATAATTATCCAGTTCCAAGATACTGGTTTGGAACCTCTTTGAATTTACTCAGTTTTCCTTTCACTCTGAATTGAACCCCGGTGGTGAGACCCCGAAAAGCTCACAGCAGCCCAGACTGTGAGAATGCCCCTGAGGCCACCTTGCCGTGTGGGAATTAGGGAAGCCAGTTATTCATACTGACTTATGCCACAGACAGGCTGCAGTTATCTACTATCCTCAGCCTGACTACTTCTTCACAGGACTTGGAAAACAGAAATGTTTTCCCCAGTTTTGCATATGTCAGAAGGAGTTAACATAAGGAGAGCCCTGCTGGATCAGACCAGTGGCCCATCTAGTCCAGCATCCTGTCTCACACAGTGGCCAACCAGTTCCTCTGGAGAGCGAACAACAGGGCATAGAGGCCGAGGCCTTCCCCTGATGTTGCCTCCTAGCACTGCTATTCAGAGGTTTACTGCCTCTGAACATGGAGGTTCTCTTTAGTCACCATGCTGGATCAGACCAGTGGCCCATCTAGTCCAGCATCCTGTCTCACACAGTGGCCAACCAGTTCTTCCAGAGGGTTAATAAAAGGTCATTAAGGCCGAGGCCTTCCCCTGATGTTGCCTCCTGGCACTGCTATTCAGAGGTTTACTGCCTCTGAACATGGAGGTTCTCTTTAGTCACCATGACCAGTAGCCACCAATAGACCTACCCTGCAGGACTCTATCTAATCCCCTTTTAAAGCTATCTGTGGTTGTCACCATCAGTGAATTCCACATTTTAATCACTCATAGTATACCCTTTTGTCCACCCTGAATTTACTATCCATCAGTTACATTGGATGCCCTCAAGTTCTAGTATTTTGGGAGAAGGGGAAAAAGTTCTCTTTGTCAAATCTCTCCACCCCACGCACAATTTATAAACCTCTACCATGTTGCCTCAGAGTTGTCTCTTTTCTAAAAATAAAAGTCCTAGATGCTTCAGCCTTGCCTCACAGGAAAAGTGCTCCACCTTGGCAGTTGTCCTTAAGTAGTGAATTTCACAGAAAAGGAAAACCATGGAAAATGCCCTTCTTTGTGTAACGACTTTCTGAGCCCTTGACCTGGGCGACTGAAGAGCTTCATCGGAGCAACCTATATGTGAATTCCTTGATGCTTAAGGAGTGCAGAGTTGGTCTTGAATTTCCTTCCACCTTCAAAACACATCTTTCCTGTCTTCCTTGTGAGGCTTCACTCATGACTAAAGCTCTTTCCGCAGCCCAAGAATTCATACTTCTTTCTCCTCAGTTTGAATTTATTTTTCTTTCTATAGTTATAGCAAGTTTTTTGTACACGTCCAAATGCTTTCCAATGTTTCATACGGTTTCAACCCTTTGTGGAGTCTGTGGCTGTCTTTAAGGTGTGAAACAGAAGAGAAGCTCTTGTCACAGGCTATGAATCTATGCTGTTTCTCATGTGGATTCTGTGATGTTGTTGAAGGCTGGATTTCTGAATGAATCTCTTTCCACAGTCTGAGCACTCAAAAGGTTTCTCCCCTGTGTGGACTCTTTGATGCCGTTGGACATCGCTACACCGACTGAACCTCTTTCCACACTCTGAGCATTTATATGGCTTCTCTCCTGAATGAATTCTTTGGTGTTGAATAAGGTTTGTTCTCTGTGAGAAGCTCTTGCCACACTCCGAGCAACCAAATGGTTTCTCTCCTGTGTGGATCCGGTAATGTCTAAGGAGTTCTGCTCTGCAAAGAAAGCTCTTTCCACAGTCCGAGCATTTATGGATCTTTTTCCCACTGTGCACTCGCAAATGAATATTATATTGGGTTTGATCTGAGAAGTTCATCCCACACTCCAAGCACTTGTATGTTTCCTCCAGTATGTGAATTATTTCACTGCAACCGCCCGCTTTCACAGAAATCCCCTGCTCGTCCCTCTTCTCAACAATGTGTCTTTCTCCATGCCTCTTAGTTTCATCATGATTCCTGAAGTTTCCTTTCAGATCTTCAGGCTTGGCTTTATCTGGGGATAACTGATGCAGTTCCTCATCTTCCTTATTCTCCTGGTCGTCCCCTGTGGGAATAAAGAGCGAGATCCCATTACAACCCACCCAAGGAAGTCTGATCTGCATCTGAATTCCCATCCACATTCAACATATTGCAGTCACTTCCTCCTGTTCTACAATAATAATAATGAAAATAATGATAATGATAATAATGATAATAATGATAATAATAATGTATTATATTATAATAAATAGAATAATAGTTGTTGAATTTATACCACACCCTATCGCATGAATGGGTTCAGGGTGGCTTACAACATAAAATTTGTAAAGCAATAAAACAGCAGATAGCACAATAAGCACTAATAAAAAGAACCCACGCCTCATTTCAGGTGGATATAGGAGATTACATGTACATTAAATTTTATGTAAATTGTTATTTTAATACTGTTTTAATTGTATTATTTAACTGTTATACACCTCCCTGAGCCCATTTGGGGAGGGCGGTATATAAATCTAATAAAATAAATAAATACATTCAGGTACATTAAAGCTCACTGCATCAGATAAGATCGTTCCACACAGTTGAGTATTTTGTAAGTTTTTCGCACCTCTTTGATGAGAAGTAAGGGCTGTTCCCTGACTGAACTTCTTTCCCTCCTCCAAGGAAGTGTACAGTTTCTCTCCTGAGGGAATTCGTTCCTGGGAGATAATGTCTGCGTGCTGCTGACTAAAGGTCTTTCCATATGACACACTTTCATTTTCTTTTTCCGTGTAGTGGATTCTTTGGTTAGCACGGAGGCCTCTGTTACTGCCCTTTTTGGTTGGACTTCCTTCTTGGACCGGGACTTCACAGAAGCCTCCTCCTTGGAAAGGAATGGGTTCATCCCTCTTCTTGACCACATCTCTTCCCTCCATCCCCTTGATTCCATCTGGACCCTTGAAGTTTCCTTCATACTCTTTGTCCTTGACTTTTACCAGCGATGACCCCTCTGAATCCCCGGCTGACTCGCCCACACTTCCTGCTGGTAGAAAGATAAGAGATCCAATCAGCAGCCACGCAAGAAACCAAGTCTCACATCTGTCACTCCCGTTTCCTGGCTTATATTTTGATTCCTCCCCCAAAACTTCTTTCACCTGGCTACACCTTTTTTCTGGCCCGCTTCTATCCTCTGCCCTTCCCTCCCTTCCCCAAAACTCCCCATAAGTACTTTAAAGGGGAAGTGGGGTAAAGATTCATTCCCCTACAGTTCGTATTTGACCTGCTGTGCGTGTCTTTTGATTTTCTGTGATTGATGGTGACATAAAAAAACACAAAACAACTTAATGTAAAACTCTGTCCTGTGTCTGAAGAGTTTTGTGATAGAAATTTTTTTGAGTGCGGTAGCACCTGCCAACCTAGCAGTTCGAAAGCAAGAAATTGCAAGTAGATAAATAGGGACCACTTCGGTGGGAAGGGAACAGCGTTCCGTGCGCCTTGGTGTTTAGTCATGCCGGCCACATGACCTTCGGACAGCGCTGGCTCTTCGGCTTTAAAACGGAGATGAGCACCGCAACCCTAGAGTCGGATTCGACTGGCTTTCGAGCAAGGGAACCTTTACCTTTACTTTAGCACCTTTAAGACCGACAACGGTTTATTCAAGGTATAAACTTCCGTGGGCATGCACTCTTCTTCAGGTACACTGAAATGGAAGCTAACCGTTCAAAGATATGGGCAGATGCCTCTACATAGGTTAACAGTGAATTAGCATACAATTTAATGAAGATGTTTTGACATATACAAAGACTAAACACCATTTGTTTGGATTTAATTAGGGGGGGAACAGTGAGGCAAGAAATATGTCAAAATAGGAGATAGATGTATAAAAGTATCTTTCTTAATTGTCAAGGGTCTGTTGTTACGCACCATTTGTTTGGTGACAGTTGGTTTTCAGCTTCTAAAAACTAAGAAAGAAGCCACAACCTCGTCAAATGAACTACTCTAAGAAAGAGTCGACGGAACTTTCGCCTTGTCTAGCCAGGCTGTTCTTAAGTTACCAGCACTTTTCCTATAATGCTCTGGAGAAGGTAAGGGCATACGAGCCCTTGACAGGAGAGAAGGGGGCCACGGCTGAGCTCAGCCCCAGAAGCCGCTTCCGAGACTCCCCAGAAGGCCTCCCTTCCTCCCTCCTTACCCAGCAGGCTGGCCTCTCCATCCTCCTCTTCCTTGATCTCCATTGGGAGCGGCCTCCACTCACTCTCAGACGGCGCCTGGCCTGCCCCAGCCACCTCCTCTAAGGGCACCTGCAACAGCAGAGCGGGACTGTCATGCTAAGCACCCTAATTCCCTCTCAAGGGTTAATGAGAATATTCTAGGGCTTAGTCGAGCTCACAGGTGTTCTTGTTACCGCCAGTGTCATCTCCTTCCAAGCCAGACAGCGGGATGTGTTACCTAGGTACGTCATGGGAAACCCTGCTTAACTATATAACATATTTTAAAATTTATCTATTGTATTGTTTTTACTGGGTGTATTTTTATATGCTGTTAGTCGCCCTGAGGAGCTGCGGTGGCTCAAGTGGTTAAGATGCTGAACTGCAGGCTGTGGAAGGTCAGTAGTTCAGCAGTTCGAGGCCCGAGTGTGCCGCATGACGGAGTGAGCTCCCGTCTCTAGTTCCACCTCCTGCCAACCTAGCAGTTTGAAAGCAAGAAATTGCAAGTAGATAAATAGGTACCACTTCGGTGGGAAGGTAACAGCGTTCCGTGCGCCTTGGTGTTTAGTCATGCTGCTCCACATGACCACGGGAACATCTTCGGACAGCGCTGGCTCTTCGGCTTTGAAACGGAGATGAGCACCGCAACCCTAGAGTCGGATTCGACTGGCTTTCGAGCAAGGAAATCTTTACCTTTAGTCGCCCTGAGTTCCGTTCAGAGGAGAGTGAACAGGATATAAATTGGTTAAATAAATAAAATTATAAATAAATCAATCATGGGAGGGGGAAATGAAGAGTAGAAGCTAGCATCTTCTGGAAAGTTCCTGTGATCTTTGATTGGATGAGAGAGACCACCTGACTCTAGAAGGCAAAGAGCTATCATTGAGAGCTATAGATTAGTAAGGTCATGCTATTTTATGCTACACTATGTAGGGTTAATGCTATGCTTATACTGCACTATGTTATACTTTGTTATGACTGGCTGTAATGGAAAGAATGCTTTTCTGCCATAAGAGACTTACCGTCTTGTAACCCAGGTATGAAATGTATTCGTTAGAAAAGATAGGGTTTGGGTTTTTAATTTCCTTGTTATTTGCCTGACAAGACTGTACTGCATAACTGATATCTTTTTAGTAATTTAGTAAACCCTAATTCATTTTACAAAGGTTTGGTTTATTGTGTGCCAATCCCACCTCAAGATCTCACAGGTAAATGTGGCTGGGACGTTGTTCAGGGGTTCCAGGAGTGGGAGCCAGGAACAACAACTCACTGGAAAAGCCAGAGGGTGACTCTAACAGGGACCTTTTCAGAACTGGGGAGGAGGGATGGAAAGAGGGGAGAGTTCTGTCTTCCACTCAGAACTTAGAAGAAGAAGCAGAGATTGGATTTATACCCTGCCCTTCACTACCCGAAAGAGTCTCAGAGTGACTTACCATCTCCTTTCCCTTCCCCTCCCCACAACAGACACCCTGTGAGGTGGGTGGGGCTGAGAGAGCCCTTTTGAGAACTGCATATGAGAGAACAGCTCTGAAAGAACTTGTAAATGACCTGAGGTCACACCAGCAGCTGCATGTGGAGGAGTGGGGACTCAAGCCCAGTTCTCCCAGAATAGAGTCTGTGCTCCTAACCACTACACCAAACTGGCTCTCCAGTTAGCTGATTAGCTCGACTGCTAAAAATATCCAGAATAAAAACTTAGAAACCATAATGAACAGGCAACAATAATGACCAAAAAGGGGTTTTTTTGTAGCAGATCTCTTTCAGAGGGAAATAAGCTTGTCTGAATAGGCTCCCAAGGTAGTGAACTCCACAAGGAAAGCACCACCATCAAGAAGGCCCTGAACATACGGACAGTTACCAAACTCCATTGGAGAAGGGATCTGGAAGGAGATCTTTGGGACTCTCGTGGTCAAAAGATGCAGATAGTGCTCAAGGAAACGCCTGTCCCCTGTGGAGATGGCAAGGGGTCAAAACTCCTAGAACTCCAAGAACTGCTCTTTCAGGGAAAGGGAGACCCCATCAAGACTGGTCCGTCAACTGGTTCCCAGGTTGAGAGAGAATTCCTCCCCACCCAAAACCTTTCAGGGAAACAAGGCAACAGACCCTTACATCTTTCCCTGGCATTCCTTCCCCCCCACACACCCTGAGATGGAGACAAACGTCAGCCCCTGCTCCAACCCAGGCCATCCCGCCACTCAAGCCCCCTTAGCAGAAAGGCCTCACCTGCTCCTTCTGCCTCAAGAGGAACTCCTCGGCCAGGGCCACTGCCTGGGAACAACTCTCAGGGCCACTCTCCCGCACCTGATTCTGGATCTGTGGGGGCAGGATGCTCAGCAGCTGTTCTAGGACCAAGAGCTCCAGGATCTGCTCCTTGCTGTGATTCTCCAATCTCAGCCACCCACGGCACATTTCCCGCAGTTGGCTGTAAGCCCCCCGTGGCCCCTCAGCCTCCCGGTAGCAAAAACACCGGAACTCTTCACGCTGCTTCTCCCGGCTCAGGGCATCCCCTCGCAAGATGGCTGCCTTCACCTTCCC